TTTTTCAAGGATTGACAATTTGATTACACATTTTATATCTTTCATATGAATTCTTTTTCGCCTATTCAGGATGTGACGGGTAACGGCAAGCGACATTTTCATCCGTGTTCGCTGTCTTTATCATCAACTTCATCACCGGCGTACATGCTAGAGACCAATCCCGTCAGGATACCGATCAGCTTGTGCCTGGCGATAATGCTAGTGTATATATGCGGAGGTGCGATCATGTTCAATCGTCTGGAAGGCTGGAGCTTGTTGGAGGGCGGGTACTTCTGCTTCACCAGCCTCGGTACGATCGGCTTTGGAGATCTGATGCCAGTGGGACGTAACGCGCCCTCAACCACCCTGGAGGAGTTCAGCCTGTGTGCATGCGCGCTCTACATCCTCGCTGGGATGGGCCTGATCGCCATGTGCTTCAACCTCGTCCAGGAGGAGGTGGTACGCGTGGTCAGGGTCTTCGGTAGAACCTGCGGCATGTCGTCGGGCGTGGTGGTCGGACCTATCGGTGGTACAGGTATCCCTGATGAAGGCATTCGGTGGGGAATCAACGATGAAAGTCTTCCACGAGAGATAGAAAGAGAGAGCATCGTGAATCGTTGATTATTTTATCGACCGTCACGCATTTGTCGCGTTCAAAAACTGCAGCAGCAGCATATACACACCAAAAAAAAAAAAAAACCAGTAATAATATTAATTAGTTCGATACCAAACCGGATATAATCAATCAAACGTAATCGCTACGTTACGGAACGGTTTTATCTTGCGAGTGCCCCGTTATTTTACGTAATAAAAGTTGTCGTCATTACCAATGCCAATCGCGACCGAAGAAACTGAGAATTTCCGGAAAGTACGATCGAAAAGAACAGCGCGACAACAGCGCGGTTGTACAACCGCCAAGACGAGTGGCAGTCACGAGTCACGCGTGGTCCCTCTCTTTTTCTTTGCAGCAGGCGCCACTTCTGGTCTCAAGGCCGATCTCGATGATGGAGGCGGCACCAGCGATTCGCGATTGTCCGAACAAGAAGAGGAGGCGATCGCCATGTCAATGGTGCCGGCCGGTTCCTGACAGCATCAGGCCAGGAGCCCCGGCGACGGCAAGCTCCTGGCCCATCCCTCGAACACTGCCATAAAGTTGTCGCCAGGTCATCATTCGCTGCCACGCAAGAAGACGTTGTCGCTGGATGCTGCCGGTAGGACAGCGAGCAACTCGTCATCTTCGGGCGCCAGCGTTCAACAGTTCCAGCGGGGCCAGCCGTTAAGAAGGAGCTGTTTGTCGCCGACGCAACATCATCATCATCAGCAACAGCAACAACAACAACAACAGTTGTCACATCATTATCCACATCGGCAACAGGAAAGTTCTTTGCACTTTGAATATTTTGTTCCGCGCAGCGTCAGCGAGTTCAATCTCGCAGCTGCCGTAACGGACATGGCAGTTCCGCCGCCACCTCCCGCGTCGGTTCTTAGGCCTTCCTCGACAATCGCACCTCCGGTTGCCACCGCAGTGATCACCACCACCAATCAGGTGCGATTACTAGATAGTGGTAGTGGTGGTGGTTGTAATATCGCTACCAGAAGTCGTGAGAAAATGGTTACGTTTGAAGACGAGGGAGTCAGTTGCGGCGTTACCTCGACACCCACTAGGAAGAATCTGCCCACCCTAGATAATGTTTTTATGTGACCTGTGCCGCAGATTTCACAGATGCTGAAGTGCTTGCTGTTGTGGTTAGGCGAAAACCTCGGAATTTCCACATCAAATATGAAGAAACGGACAATGACAAATCATCGAAATGTCGATGGATATTGTCATTTCGAAACGATAAAAAATTAAATATACGGGAATTATTTTTATGAAAAAAATTAATGAATGTGATTGGACGATAAACGATTGAGAAATATCGACAACGAGTTGATTGTTAATCCGGTGATTACCGAGACTTTTTGACGTTTTTGTTAAAAGAAGAAAAAAGAAATGAACGTATTCCGAATACATAATTGAAAAACATTAGGTGAGATATTAAGAATTAAGAACAAAATCCATATCCAATTATGTCGTGGAACATAAATGCTAAATAAAATACAAGAATCTATTCATGATTTACGTGAATTCTGATTATAAAACAGAATACGAAATAGGCAAAGAGAAACGAAAAGACAGATCGACAACCTTTACAGAAAACTGCATATCTGTACAACGCGATGACATGGCAACTAAGCATATAAAAGTACTCTAAATATCAAATATGGCGGAGGATGTGAAAACAATTTATAAAAACTCTGAAAGAGGACTGCGACATTAAGAAATATTTTGTTCAGAGATAAAACTTTTATTAAAAATCATTTATTGTGAGTTTTCGACTATAACGATTTTTTTCTTGTCACCACACGAGACAAGACTACCTAAATAAGTAACATTCAAGACAATATTTAAAAGACGCTTAAAGATCTGATAGATATTCCAAATCTTCAAATATTTCTTAGATATCTTTCAGACATCGTTGAGACGTTTATTTGGTTACAGACGATTTGTAATGATTACAGAATCATTTTTATTTCAACAATTTTTTAAAGAACTATATATGTCATTTAGTTTTATATTTTAATTTGCGGTGCTGTGTACAGGAACTATACATGAAAGCGAAGAATAAAAGACAAAAATCTGTCATGATTAAAAAAAATAGAAGAAAAACAAAACAATGTTATAACTGACAATGGAAGCTTTTCCTCAGCCAAATGTCGACTGTATATTATCCATTATCGTTGTCAAATTACTTACGCGCAGCGTAGGTTATCTCTATCGTATTCGAATTTTATGTCCGATAAGTCCAACTATGTATTCCGAATATTACACGAATAGTTTGTATATACATTATATATACATATATATATTCAAAAAATATATTGAATAATTCTAACCTATACAACACACAATTATCCTATCATATTATTATTATACAAGTAATTATACTAATTAAGTTATAGAGTATTCGATTGTAACAGAGTTAAAGGATACATTCCTGAAATTATTTTAAAATTTTTATACAAAAATGTCAAAGCTATATATATATATATA